CATGACCTACCAACTGAGCCAGCCAGGCACCCTGTTTTGCTTCCATATTCATAAGAGATCTTAGTCTCTAGTTTTCTTGTGATAGTTTTGTTTGGTTGTGGTATCAGGGTAATGCCAGCCTCATAAAATGAGTTGGGAAGTGTTCCTTCCTCTCCTATTCTTTTGGAAGATTATGTGAAGAATTAGTATTAATTGTTTTTGAAATGTTTAGTAGAATTCAGTAGTAAAGCCATTTGGGCCTCTGGTATGTAGAGCCTAGACATTTCTTTGAGGGTATTTTTATTACTGATTTAATCTCTTTACTGGTTATAGGTCTGTTCAGATTGTCTGTTTCTTCTTGAGTCAATTTTGGTAGTTGGTGTCTTTCCAGGAATTTGTCCATCTCATTTAATTTATCTAATTATTTGGTGTACAACTGTCATTTTACTTTTTTCCATGTGCTTCATGTCTTTTTTGTTTCTCCATTCCTCCTTTACTACTTGTTTTTACATTAGGTGAATATTTTCTAATGAAGCATTTACATTTATTTAATGATTTCTTCATCATACTTTTTAAGTGTTTTGGGGAATTTTTTTAGTCGTTGCTCTAGGGTTTACCAGATAATCGTATCAGAATTAGCTTCAGATTTACACTAGCTTAATTCCAGTGATACATACATCCTATGTATCTATATAGAGATCCTATATCTATATATACCCACATATCCTTTCCCTTTCCACCTTTTTTGTAGACTATTTTATATATATATATCAAAATTATATATATACTATATACATATATATTAAAATTACAAACCCAACAATACATTGTTGTTATTACTTTACCACCTGTGGTCATTTCCTCAGCCCATTACAGCTTTGCTTCCATCCACCTCCTTTGTGCTGTTATTGGCAAGTATACTACACATATATTACGTTTGTATGTTATAGGCCCAACACTACATTATATACGTTATTTTATACAATTGCTTTTTAAATCAGTTATAAGAAGAGAAAAATACTCATTTCTGTCTTTTATAATTGTATAATTACCTTTCCCAGTGCTCTTTTTTTTTTTTTCATGTAGATTTGATTACTGTCTGAGGCCATTTGCTTTTGGCCTGAAGAACTTTCTTTAGTATTTCTTGTAAGGCAGGTCTTTGAACAACATCTCCAATTTGCATGTACCTGGGAAAGTCTTTATTTCACCTTCATATTTGAAATAGCCACTTTGAAATACCCAGCTGTGCTGGATACAGGATTCTTAATTGACAAGTTTTTTCTTTGAGCACTTAGTATGTTATCCCACAGCCTCTGGCCTTCACAGTTTCTGCAGAGAAGACAGCTGTTCATCTTATTGGAGTTTCCTTGTATAAGTCCTTTTTCTCTTGCAGCTTTCAAGATTTTCTCCTTGTCTTCGACTTTCATCATTTTTACTGTTTCTATTTGTGGATCTCTTTGTATTTATCCTCCTTGAAGTTTATTGAGCTTCCTGAATATCCAGGCTATTGTTTTTCAACAAATCCAGAAAGTTTCAGCTACTATTTTTTTTTTTAAAGATTTTATTTATTTATTTGAGAAAGAGAATGAGAGAGAAAGCACATGAGAGGGGGGAGGGTCAGAGGGAGAAGTAGACTCCCTGCCGAGCAGGGAGCCCGATGCAGGACTCGATCCCAGGACTCCAGGATCATGACCTAAGCCAAAGGCAGTCGCTTAACCAACTGAGCCACCCAGGCACCCTCAGCTACTATTTTTTTAAAATATTTTTTCTCTCTCCTCTCCTGGTATTCCCATTACACCTGTACACTTAATGATTTCCCATATTTTTCTGAGGCTCTGTACATTTTTCTTCATTGTTTTTTTCTTTCTATTCTTCGGCTTGCATCATTTCTATTATTCTATCTTCAAGCAGGCTAATTCTTTCTTCTGCCGGTTTGAATCTACTGAGCCGCTCTAGTGAATTTATTTCAGTTATGGTACTTTCCAATTCCAGGATTTTCATTCTGTTCTTTTCTATAATTCCTATCTCTTTACTGATCTTCTCTACTTGATGTGAAAATATCATTATACCTTAATCCTTTTTTTTTTAAGATTATTTATTTATTTATTTATTTGAGAGAGAGAATGAAAGACAGAGAGCACGAGAGGGAAGAGGATCAGAGGGAGAAGCAGACCCCCCACCGAGCAGGGAGCCCGATGTGGGACTCGATCCCGGGACTCCAGGATCATGACCTGAGCCTAAGGCAGTCACTTAACCAACTGAGCCACCCAGGCGCCCCTATACCTTCATTCTTTAATCATGTTTTCCTTTAGTTCTGTGAACGTATTTGTAATGGCTATTTGAAACCTTTTCTGCTAAATCTGACATCTGGTCGCTCTCACAGGCAATTTCTACTGCTAGCCTTTTTTCCATCGGATGGGTCATTTCCCTGTTTCTTTACATGCCTCATAATTTTTTTTTTTTAAGATTTTATTTATTTATTTGACAGAGAGAGAGACAGTGAGAGAGGGAACACAAGAAGGGGGAGTGGGAGAGGGAGAAGCAGGCTTCCTGCTGAGCAGGGAGCCCGATGTGGGGCTCGATCCCAGGACCCTGGGATCATGATCTGAGCCGAAGGCAGATGCTTAACAACTGAGCCACCCAGGCACCCCACATGCCTCATAATTTTTTGCTGGAAACTGGACATTTCTGGTAATACATTATCTAAATAATATAGATACCGGATTGGTTCTCCCCACCCCAGCCCAGGGCTTGTTATTGGTATTTGCTTGTTTATTTAGTGATGGGCTGGAATGTTTTAGCGAAATCTATTTCCTTCACACAGTGTTAAGGCCTATGATGTTGTTCCTCAGAGAGGCACAAATTTGGTTATGGCCACAGTCATCCTGGAGTGACAGTGGTTTTAGTAGGAGGGCTCTTTCTCTTCCCCTGATCACACCCAGCTGTTAAACTCCATTAACTGTGTTTTACTGTTCTATTATTTTCAACCATGCCTGGGGCATAACGTGCTCTACAAAATAATCCAATCAAAGGTGGCTCTTTTGAGGGAACAGTTTATTCAATCCCATGAGGGCTCTTCCCAGCCGTCTTTATCTTTGATTCTCTCCTGCCAACTAGCTGGCCTACAATTTAGGCTGTATCTTCATTAAATTCATAATCTCCTCCCAATTGCCCTTCACCAAATCCTCCAGTTTTTAAAAGTTCCCTTAGGCATAAACTTCACATTTTGTTGCAAATGAATTAACTGCCTTTGGGAAGAGAGCAGGAGCTACAGATTTTAAAGCTGCCTTCTCCCTCCAGGTAAAATCTCTGAGTCCTTGATGGAAGGGGGGGCGGGGGGGGGGCGGGCAGGGGACACCAGCCTGGGATTTTCTGTTTGCCTCCTCTGGCATGGAACCACCATTACATAAGCTGTGTCTGGGACGAGAGCAACCAGGGCCCCAGTAGTCTCAGTGTGCCATACCCAAGGCACAGCTCCCATTTTGTGAGTAGGAGCTGGATAGAAGAAGGAAGACTCAGTATTTCAACTATACACACCTGGGACTGTCTCAGCAACAAGTAGGCTTGAGACAGGATAAGAAACACTGACGTCCTGCTCCTCCTGGGAAGAAAGTAGTCTGACAGGGAGCTAGGGGTAGAGGGAGCCCTGTGTTCTGGCTTGCAGCAGTCTGGAGTGGAATCTCCACCTGGGGGAGTTGGAAGTGGGGAGGGAGGTAGTAGCCTTAATTCAAATACTATAGACTTGTCTTTCTTAGCAAATTTTCACAGATTTTCTTGAATGGATGTTTATTCATTTGATGAATGTTTGCCCTTGGGACCATTTCCAGAGGGTTTAAATAGTTAAGAGTTTTTTGGGCGCCTGGGTGGCTCAGATGGTTGGGCGTCTGCCTTCGGCTCGGGTCGTGATCCCGGGGTCCTGGGATTGAGTCCCGCATCGGACTCTCTGCTCCTTGGGAGCCTGCTTCTCCCTCTGCCTCTCTCTCTGTGTCTCTCATGAATAAATAAAAAAAATCTTTAAAAAAAAAAAATAGTTAAGAGTTTTTTGAAGTAATTTTCACCAGCCTTACAGGCGAGCACAGTCAATGACACTCCTCACGCTGTCATGCTGGCAGTGAATCCTAAGGCTGCTTTTGTGCTATAATAGTTGAGCTGAAGAGCTAAGTGGTTGTAACAGAGATCCTATGGCCTGCAAAGCTGAAAATATTTACTATGTGGCCCTTTACAGAAAAAGTTTGTCAACCCCTGACTTAGGTCACTGCTCCCAATGCTGCTGTTTCACAGACCACTTTGGACTAGCAAGGACTTAAATTACTTGAGAGGCAGTACTATTTTGGCTAAAAGCTTGACTTAAAACCCCACTTTGCCACTTACTTGATATATGGTTTGGGGTACCTACCTCACTGGGTAGTTGTGAGAATTAAATGCATGAGCGTCTGACACTTAGAATATATTCAACAACTAATAACTGTTATCATCATGATGTAAACTGCATGAAAAGTAAGTATTAGTATTAACTCTTTCTTTAAAGGCTTTTCTTCCAGAAAATGAAAGCTTTTGGAAAAGGGAAGGAAGTATAGCCTTTCCAATATACAAGATGCAACTTTTAATACCTGGGGCACATAATACTATCTAATAAAGAAGGAAAAAAAAAAAAAAAAAGCCTATAGAGCCTGACACTGAAAACCAGAATTCGCCACCACGGATGCTTCCAGCCTTTTGCAGTAACAATGAATGAAAACCTTCAGGAAGTGCTTCCAAACCCAAAAGCCCTATGAAGAAGGGGCAGCAATTATCTTTAACATGAGGATTTGGGCCTAGATGGCTCCTTCCGGTTCTGGTCGGCTCTGTCTATACTCAGGGACGGTAGAAGCTGAATCCCTCAAGCTTCCACCTCGACTGTCACCGCGGCAGGGGCGCCCCAGTTGGTGCCCGACCCACAGCAGGACCCGGAGAGCGGGGATTCCGCCGGATTCCGCCCGGCTCCCCCTTGCCACAGCCCGTCGGGGCTGCCAGCCGGTTACCTCGCAGTTGAACTCCATCTCAGCGTCCATGGTGACGATCCGCACGGTGAACGTCTTGGGCTGCTTCCTCTTGAGCGAGCTGAAGCTCATACGGGAAGCGATGGCCCCGGCCATGGCGCGGGGCTCAGGCCCGGGACCCTCGCGCCCCGAGGCCTGCGCTCCGGACCTGTTAGCCCCCCTGGAGGAGCCGCACAGGCCTCAGGGCCACCATGGTAGCCAACTGGCCGGCCTGGGAGCTCTCTGGTCGGCGCAGGCCCCCAGCGGCCAGCATGGACCGTGAGGACCCAGCCCCGGGAGCGTAAAGGGGAGTTGGGGGACGGGCCCTTACGGCCACCGGGACGAAACACTAGCCAGGACCGACGGGGTGGGCTCGGCCCGGTGCTCAGGGACTCGGGCCGGGGACGCTGGGGACGCCGGGGACGCCCCGGGACGGGGCCCCTCGACGGCAGCGGCCCAGCCCCCGCGCGCCTCTCAGCGGCCGATGGAGGTCTCGGGGCCGCGCTGCGGCCAGGCGCGCACGTGCGCGCGTGGCTGTCACCGTCCTCTCTCCGCGCGCCCGCGGGAATCGTCCCCTCCCCACAGACCCCGGCCTGCTCCCCGCCCCGCCCTCAGGCCCCCAGATCATCACACACCGCGCAACCGAACCGGCGGCTGCCGCCCGGACTCTGCCATTGGCTAAGAACCCCTAGGGAGGCGGGACTTTTCCCTCCCCCTCGCCCTACTTCAGAAAGACACCACCAATTGGAAGTTCCGCTGTGATTGGAGGCGCGGGCCTGGGCTCGGCGTTGAGTGGCCAAAGCGGCAGTCACTCCGAACGCTTTTGTTCGCATGGAGTACGCCTACTCTAGCAAGACTGGTTGAGGAATCGGAACCCGGCGCTCCTTCTCCGGGGAACCACCTAGAGGCTGGTCCCCAGTTGCGGGTGGGTCAGTGGGGGACTGAGCTTCGGGCCAAATACGCGCCGAGGTGTGGCGCCCCAGGTGTTCGGACACCCGGCGGATAATCCTCCTTGACACTTAATTGCATATACTAACCTCTGTGTTTCTCAAACTTTTAAATCATGTGGAGGCTGCTTAGGTGGCCGGCGCTCTCCTCCAGATCCTTCTGCTTCTCTTGGGGAGAAATTGTATTATTACCAAGGAAGGATAATAATTGTACCTACCTCGTGGGGTTGTTGAGGAATTTAAGGAAGTTAATACATATAAAGCTTTAGAACGGTGGCTGGCACATACTAAATTGAATCCTATGAAATTGCTGTTTTTGTAGGTAAAAAATGGTCGAAAAATGAAAGCTTTTCTCATTTTGTACTCTGACTTCCATTTTCCAACCATATATGTTTTTTCTTTATTTTTTAAGTGTCATCAAGCTATAGTGGATGTGTTGTGAGGTGGGGGAGTATATAACTTTCTGTATTTAAAAAATAAATCCTACTTTTAAATAACTCTTAATGGTTGAGTAGAGACAATTTCCTCTGTTTTGACTGAAGAGTAAGCAGTCCTTAAGTGTTAACCATCGTTAGCATCACCTCCCCTACAGATGGGAAAAATGAGAAGCTCAGCAGGAGAGAGCCACGCTCTCTATTACGTAGATAGCGAGAAGCAAAGATGGGACTCAAAACACAGATTTATCCCATCCAGAGCTTGCTGGCATTACCATTTCACTGCCCTGCTTCCCTAAGTGTGGCTGCCAAGTTGCTCCCTGTGTAGCCCTCCCAAACCACGAACTGTCATTCTGGAGCACTCAGCAGACACGGTTGCTGTAACTATACCATAGTATAAATCTAGATCTCCGCAGGCCCCTGTGGTGCCATGAATCACCAGCATATGCTGGCCCACCCAGCAAAGCTGCTGTGGGGGAACTTTATATCCTGTCTACTGACTGCTAGCAAATTCTCCCCACCAAAATGATTGTTCAGGGTAGTGTGGGCTTGGAGTGAGAATGTCTTCATTTTAATTGCTTCAGTTCTTCCCTGTAGGTGGGAGAATCAGGGTGGATTCTCCTAAGGGCCCCCCACAGGGACAACAAATCGGGGCTTTAAACCAGGGCCAGGACTTCTGACAAAAAATAAGTGATTCTGGGATCCTACTGAGGAGTAGAAAAGGCTGTAGATCAGACAGCGGGGGTAAAAATGACATTGATGGCCAGTAATAGCTCCTTTTTATGGAAGGCTTACTAGGTGCTAGGCACTGGGCTAATTGGCCAAAGATGCCAAATTTAAACATTCTTGGGGAGACACACACGTAGATATATGGGTCTGGATCTCAGAAGGGAGGCCTGGACGAGGACTAAAAATAGATGTAATGGAATATTATGCTGGCATTAAAAGTGCCATTCATAAAAAACAAACACAAATGATAATAGTACCTACCAGATAAGGGCTTGAGAAGGAATAATTCAAGCAGAGCTCATTAAGAAAGATCTGGGGGTTCCTGACTGGCTCAGTCAGCAGAGCATGCAACTCTTTTTTTTTTTAAGATTTTATTTATTTGAGAGAGGAGAGAGAGAGCACAAGTGAGGTGAGGGGCAAAGGGAGAAGCAGACTCCCCGCTGAGCAGGGAGCCTGATGCGAGGCAGATCCTGGGACTCCAGGGTCATGACTTGAGCTGATGGCAGGTGCTTAACCAACCAAGCCACCCAGGCGCCCTGAGCATATAACTCTTGATCTTGGGGTTGTGAGTTTGAACCCCACATTGGGAGGTAGAGTGTACTTAAAAATATATATGGTTTTTTTTTTATTTTTTTTTATTTTTTTTTTTTATTTTTTTTAAAGATTTTATTTATTTATTTGCGAGAGAGAATGAGAGACAGAGAGCACAAGAGGGAGGAGGGTCAGAGGGAGAAGCAGACTCCCCGCTGAGCAGGGAGCCCGACGCGGGACTCGATCCCGGGACTCCAGGATCATGACCTGAGCCGAAAGCAGTCACTTAACCGACTGAGCCACCCAGGCGCCCTATGGTTTTTTTTTTTTTTTTTTTAAATAATTAAGGGGCCCCTGGCTGGCTCAGTGGGTGGAGCATGTGACTTTTGATCTCGGGGTCATGAGTTCAAGCCCCAAGTTGGGGTTAGAAATTACATTAAAAAATATCAAAAAAAAAGAGAAAGTTCTGGACACACAGACACCAGTTAGTAAATACTTGTTGAATGAAGAAATAAAGGACACGAGGAAATACTGAATGGTCTCACCTATGGAAACGGTATGAATAGCTACAATATATTATGTGCTTACCATATAAGGTACTCTGCAAAGGGCTTTGCATGCTTTATTTCTTTTGATCTTTATCAAAACCCTACTTGGTAGGTACTATATCCCCAGTTTACACATGAGGAAACTGGCTAAGGCTGAAAGAAGGTAATTTACCCAAGATCATAACCGGAAGAGATGAAATTTGCATCCAGCATGTTTTTTATCTAGATTTCACCTTAGTTACATTTTGTTCCTCCATTCTTCCTGAAGATCAGTGGCTCTCAAAGTGAGGTCCATTCCCTCCAGGAGACATTTGGCAATATCCAAAGATTTTTTTTGGTTGTCACAAATAGGGGATGTTCCTGTACTCCATGGAAAGGCTGAGGATGCTGTTAAACATCTCACAATGCACAAGACAACCTCCCACAACAAAGAATTATGCAGCCTAAAGTATCAATAGTGCACAGCTAAAGAAATCCTTCTTAGAGCAATTATTCTTTTTTTTTTAAGGATTTATTTATTTATTTGAAAGAGAGAGAGAGAGTACAAGCGGGAAGGGTAGAGGAAGAGGGAGAATCTCAAGCAGATTCCATGCTCAGCTAACCCTAAGATCACGGCCTGAGCTGAAACCAAGAGTGGGTGCTTAACTGACTATGCCACCAAGGTGCCCCTAGGGCAATGATTCTTTAACTGCTTTTGTGGATTTTTTTTTTTTTAAGTCAAAAACACTCTATCAAGAATCTGATGAAACCAGTGGACTTTCTCCACAAAGGAATACACACACATACACATGCACAAAATTTTAGAAGGTTCATGAAAAGACTCCTCCAAAGCATATGGTAAGCCCCAGATTAAATCAGCTCATCACCAAGACTGAATCAACTCATACCAGATACTGCATGTGAATGCTAGATCATAACCTGTCTGCCAAAAATTGGACTTTGTTGTTTCTGGAACTACTTTTACTGTGTTTGGCATGAAGCCAGTGTCCTGCACAAGGGTGTTATAAGAAACAGCCCTGTGGAACTCTGTCTTTAGTAGAGATTTAGCTGACAGAGATACACACAGCATCCTTTCTATGAAGACTCACAAGAGAAATACCTCTTAACTCTAGCATTTATATTTCTCATGGGAGACTGGTTTGCTTTTTATTTTTTTAATAACGTTCATTGTGTTTTCCTTATCTCATAAGTAATCCTATGCGTTACAAAAAAGAAATAGAAAGTGCAGATAAGCAGTGTGGTGGGCATAATTCTAAAATGTCCCCCATGGGTAGCTCAGTCATTAAGTGTCTGCCTTCAGCTCAGGTCATGATCTCAGGACCCTGGGGCTGAGCCCGGAGTCAGGCTCCCTGCTCAGTGGGCAGTCTGCTTCTCCCTCTCCCTCTGCCCCTCCCCCTGTTCATGCTCTCTCTAGCTCTCTCAAATAAATAAATAAAATCTTTTAAAAAAATTAAAAATTTTTTTTAAAAGTAAAAAATAAAATGTCCCCCATTGATCTACAGACTTGTACAATCCTCCCCCTTGGCCATGGTCAAGACCAATGGATATGATGGGATATTATTCCTGTGATTATGTTGCTTTATACGGCAAAGGGGATTTTCGCAGATGAAACGCCTTAATCAGTTGTGTTCATCAAAAGAGAGATTATCCCAGGAGGATACAGAACTAATCAGGTGAACTCTTTTTTTTTGTTTTTAATTCCAGTATAGTTAACATATAGTGTTATATTAGTTTCAGGTGTACAATATAGTGCCAGGTGAACTCTTTTTTTTATTCAAAAGAGAGAAAACGGAGAGGGGAGGGTGGGTGGGCAGACGGAGAGGGACAAGTAGACTGTGCACTGAGCACAGAGCCCGATGAGGGTCTCCATGCGGAGCTCAATTCCATGATCCTGAGATTATGACCTGAGCCGAAATTAAGAGTCGGACACTTAACTGACTTAGCCACTCAGGCGCCCCTCAGGTGGACTCTTAAAAGGAGATTTAGGGGGGCACCTGGGTGGCTCAGTCGTTAGGCGTCTGCCTTCGGCTCAGGTCATGGTCCCAGGGTCCTGGGATCGAGCCCCGCATCGGGCTCCTTGCTCGTCGGGAAGCCTCCTTCTCCCTTTCCCACTCCCCCTGCTTGTGTTCCCTCTCTCACTGTGTCTCTGTCAAATGAATGGATAAAATCTTAAAAAAAAAAAAAAAAAAAAAGGAGATTTAGGGTTCAAAGATAAAGGAAGTCTGAGATATGAGTTCCTCTTGACCTGGAAAAAAGCAAACATCCATGCTGTGAGCTGCTTATAGGACCTCATAGCAAGGAACTCTGGGTGGCCTCAGGGAGTGGAGAGTGGTCCCATCTGACAGGTAGCAAGAAAACAAGGACTTCAGTCCCACAACCACAAGGAGCTTAGTTCTGCCAACAACCGAGTAAGCTAGG